CCTCTCATGCTCTCTGTCTCTCATTCTCTCTCTTGCAAATAAATAAAATCTTAAAAAAAAAAATTAAGAAATAAATAAAAGCATTCACAACAGGTGGGGCATCCTTGAGGGTAAAAGCCTGAATAACACCTTTGGTCAAAGGTACGTCAAAGGCTTTCTCTAACTGCAGTACTAATTTCTCTCCATCCCCGGAACACTGATAAACAGCATGATTATGTCTAGTCGTTGAAGAGGAAATGTATTTCTGTAAATGAAAGGTGATTCTTACCATTGATAAATCATAAATTTGCTTTTTTAATGCAGCCACATCTTCTTTTTGACTTATGTGTTTCGACTGTTCTTCTAGCTGAAAGAGCAAATAAAGGCTGTGCATTTACAAACTCACTTTGGATTGATTCAGTTAAGTTTATGAGTATCCTTGAATATACAGATATGGGAATTCTAAAAGTCTTCCATTTTCAACATTTTACAACTTTGTAAATTATTAAGCTACATATAATCCATGAAGATTTGAAAATTTGCTTTCAATAATTTAAGCATTTAAAAAGGGGGTTTTATCGCTTAATGAATTTCTTTTCGAAACAACTGAAAAGTCCTTTTGGGAAGCCATTCAACTATTAAGCGATTTAACTTAGCCTTTTCAGTTATGTTGCCTATGAGTCTGGACCTTTATATTCTCCTAGAAATTCATCTGCACTTAACACTTTCTATCCTGTATTATAATTATTTATGAATGCCTTCTCTCTCCTACCAGAGTCTAAGATTTTTAACAGCAGAGTTAGTGTCAGATTCACCTGTTTTCTTCACAGTGACTCCAGTAAATGCTTATTAAAATAACTGAAATCAATAACATTTAAGTGTGATAGGAAGCTAGTGACATACACATACAATTCTCTATGAATATATACCGGAGCTTTGCTTTCTGGTTGACTTGTTAGTATTACCAGACTTTCAACCAGCTCAGGAGATCTCTAACATGGACAACAAACATGTCTTTTTGTTTCCTGACAGTCCCTGGGAACGGTGAGGATCCGTGGGTTTCCATTAACTGAGTAGTTACGCACTGACCAAAATGAATGCTATATTTCATCAATTTTAAGTCAAAGCCTAAGTAATCTGATGCTGGATTTTCTTCATCTTACGTCATCTAAAGGTTTTCACACACCGAGGCCATGACTGCCACGTGGCTCACTCTGAGAAGAGCCCTTGATTTTTTCAGATGCATGCTAATTTCAGAGAAAAAAAAACTGGAGGGAAAAAACTAGTTCCTCAGAATCCATGGCATAGGGTAATGGCAGTCATATCAATTTTGTAAACTTTTCCAGTTTAAGCCTTTAACACTCCCTCACGTAAATCACCATCTGTTCTCTTGCAGAACAAGCCTCCCGAGCCGGCGGGAAGTCTGGTACAAGTGAGAAAGCGCAAACTGTGTAGCAAGACAACTCCACGGCTTATTAGCTCTGTGACTCTAGAACTCGGTGTCCTCAGCTGTGAAAGCAGGAGACTTACCTATCCTCAGAAAAAGTTTGAGAATTAAAAATTATGAAAAAGAGCTGAAGAAACTATAAAGTCAGTAATGTCTCAGCTATTAGGGTTAGGCAGGACAGTCCATTATTAATCCCATTTTACAAATGAGAAACGAAATGATAAGATAATGAAGCCAATTGTCCCAGGTATAACGGGAACAAAGTAGCATCGTCTCGATGAGAACTCCAGTCCCATCACTTCTGACTCTTACTGTTCAGGGCCTATGTGGTCGTCATCATATGCCTCATCGTGGCAAGAAATTCTGTGTCTTTTCTGCATAACTTGCTTCTAGCCTAAAGATGTGGGAAGACAGGAAAATAACCGAGAACCGGGGCTAGGAGAATCTGTGACTCTGGCATCAACAAGGGACTGGTCTGTTCAAATTCTGCAATTCAAGCATCTTATGTCTGGTCTAATGGCCTCTGTCAATTAGAGAAAAGGTTGAGCTGATCATAATTTCCCAAGAAGGTTATTGGGGAGGATTTTTAATAATCCCAGAGAATCCCAGAGGTTTGAATTGCAATAGCCTACAAAATACAGCTAATCGTCCCTTAATCTCATTGAATATAAACACTGGAAACAGCATTAAAGGTTATCACATGAACAACCAGAGAAGCAAAGTGATGTGCCCAAAGTCACAATGCCACTTTCAGGGATGATTCTTTTTTAAGTATCCATTTTCAGTTTAGCCAAGGTATTTCCACTCGTTATAGAGACAATCCACATGCAAGAGGTGGATCCAGTACCATGCAGCAGACAGCCTGTGCCGGTGGGTGAGAGCCAATGTGACGCACCTCTTCCCAAACTCTGCACTCAGTCACGTCAACTTGGTAGCTTGAAATTGTTAATGGTGGAAGCATTAACACCGTGGAAATCAGCAAATATTACAGATTCCTCCCTGACCCCCTTTCCCCCTCCAGAGCCCATTGTTAAGTAGCTACCAGCATACCACTGGGTGAAACAAACCCTACTCATTAGAAACCAAACACAGCAAAGGCCAAACCCAATCACACTTTTGCTCACATTTCAGCAAGTTCTCTCCCACCTCCTGCTGATCAGGGGTCCCCTAGATCTGGAACTTTCTGCATAGAAGAAGAGCATTTACTTCATTTAATAAATATTCACTGAATACTGACCATGTACCTTGCGGTTAGTTGGGGGCAAGGATACAGGAATACGTGACCAGTAAAGACAGGATCCCTCCTGTCATGAGCAGAGTCCACTGAACATGTGGGCATTGAGGGCACCTGAGGAAGGAAAACTGGGGTCTGATGGACAACTGTTCAAGGGGTCAGAAATATTTATTAGACCTGTGCAGAAGATAGGTTGCCCTTGAAACGGAAAAGAAAATCAGGGACCTTTAAAAATCCATCTTTCCAGGGAGCCCAGTTTGACCCTGAAATCTGATTCCAACTGCTGCTTTAACATGGTTCCCAATGTCTTTAGTTGCTAATAACTTAAACACACTGATACACTGAGGCTATTCCTAGAAGCCTCGCTGCCACAAACATACCTTTTTGAGTTTCTTTATTGTCACCTGTAAATCCCCTACTTCTGTTTCATACTGACGTCTGAGGTCACTGAGGGCTTCCTCAGCCTTACGTTTTTCCTAAAAAAAAAAAAAAAAAGATTTTAATGATTTAAACAGGTTCTTTAAAACCCCACAGAGCAAGAAATGTTTTGTGTCAAAGTAAGGCTGATCCCAAGTCTCCCACACAGGGAGGGCAAGAAGGGATGGCGGAAGTAAACCAAATGACTTTGGAGGTACATCTGTTTTGGAATTGAAACCTGCGGAAGTGAAAGCCGACATGCACACATCACCAGGAGACGCCTCTAAGACTATTACTCATGTTGTGACAGGAGGCCAGGGCACATCTATTAACTAGTTTAAGTAGTTATTGCTGTTATTTATTAAAAGATATGGCAAGAGCCAAGGGCCCACATGCTTGCCTGAACCCTATCATGTCATCAGGGCCCAGGAAGGTCCAGTGGGTTTGTCCTTTTTCCAAGAGCTTACACCTTTACCTGAATTCAAATCACATCACCTGCAAATTTCTATGCTAAGTGCTTCCACATGGGCTGGTTCTTCTCACATGTGTCCTGCCTGGATCAGTGAATGGCAAGGGGCACCCCGGGAGGTCAGGGGCTGCAGGTCCCAGGAGCCCAGACATCTTCAAATGTCCTTTTTCTCTTCGCAAAGTATGGAACTCTGCGCCCTGTGTTTAGTATTCAAATAAATTATGTTACTAGCCAGTGAAATTGAGTGTGCAGCTATCCCCTGCTAGCCCACTATATGCCAACAGTCCTGAGCACAGGGGGGCAGAGCAGGAGCAAGGCAGACAAACGCGCATGCTGGTGGGGGAAGACAGGAGGTAAGACGACCTCAGGAAGTAATACAGGGAGAAGCTGACAGGGAGATGTGACAGGAACTGAGTTAGGGGGTAAGGTAAGGCCTCTCTGCAGGGGAGATATGACCCCATGTCTGAACACCTGCCTGAGTTACAGGGTCTTGCGACCCACTTACTGGCTGTCTAGCTGAGACAACTTACCTGGAGCCTTCATCTCCTTATTGGATTAATGTGAGGATTATATTAAATTACCCAAGTAAATTAAATAATCCATATAAATTAAATAATCCATGTAAATTAAATATTCTATGCTTAGGAGGAAATGTGTAGGAGAAGAGTAACATCTTCACTCATGGTAACCTTTTCTAAGCGCGTCTCTCGACTTCATCCAGCTCCACAGGTGAGGTAGCAATGTCGCCACTTCACAGGTGGATGAAGACGGGAAGCCTCGCAATGAGGCACTACCTCGGACAGCCTTCCTGGCACTGAAGTGGACCCCGATGTAACTAGGCAAGTCTTCTCACTAAATCCAGGGCCACAACCTTAAACAACTTTTATGGTTTAAAAACATTTTATTCAGAGTTCAATAAAGGAAATTATCACCATGTAGCTCTTTCCATTCCCAACCTGTCAAGATGCCAAGAGATCGGGTAGGGGGTCACTACAGTAACTTAGGTAGATGGTGGTGGTTCAGACCAACTCATCACAAACTTCCAGGAAACTGAAAGGGAGGGAAGCTTTCCCAACTCATTCTATGAGACCAGCACTGGCCTGATACAAAAATCAAACACATTAAGAGAAACCCACAAACCAGTATCTTTTATGAGTATGGATGCAAAAATAATAAACAAAATTTAGCAAAATGAATTCAACAAGATTCAAAAATGAAAATACATCATAAATAAATGAGGTTTATCCCCAGAGTACAAGTGTGTTTTAATACTTGAAAATCAATGTAATTCACCACATTGATGTTCTAAAAAAGAAAAAAGCCATGATCATTTCAATAGATACAGAAAAACATTTGATGAAATCCAACATTCCATTCCTAATTAAAACAACTCTTAGCCAACCAGGAACATGCGCAAAATTCAGTAAAGGGCTTCTATGAACAGCATGCCACCAACATCATACTTCTTGTTGAGAGAGAAATTATAGACAAGGATGTCTGCTCTCCCTTTTCTTGTTCTAACCAGTGCAATAAGGAGAGAAAAATAAAGTGATCATTCACACCAGAAAGAGAGAAGTAAAGCTGTCTTTATTCATAGATTACAATACCATTTACCTAGAAAATCTGATGGAATCTACCAAAAAAGCTGCTGAGTGTGAACAATGTAAACAATAAGATAGGGTATAAGATCTATATGTAAAAATCAAGTGTATTTCTATATATTCACATTGGACAACCAGAAACTGAAAGTTTTAACAACACTGTTTAGAGTAGCATTAAAATATCAAATACTTAGGAATGAATCTGAGGAAAGATTTATAAGATCTTTATGTTGTACACTACAAAACATTGCTAAGAGAAATTAAAGAAGACCTAAATAAATGGAGAATAAATGGATCAAATTATTCATTATGGTTAAGATGCCAATTCTCCCCAAATTGATCTATAAATGCAATGAAACCAAATCAACCCCCCAGAATGTTTGGGTTTTTTGTTTTTTTTTCTTTTTGTTTTTAAGAAACTGACAAGCTGATTCTATGGAAATTAAAGGATCTAAAATAGCCAAGACAATTTTGAAAAACAACAAAGTTCTTTCAACCTAAATGTGAGACAGGAGTCCATCAAAATCCTAAAGGAGAA